CAGGGAAGCTGGTAATGGGGAACCCAAGGTCCAGAAGGAGAGACTGTTGACATGTCATGGCGTTGGCAACGAATGTCACAAAACAGTTTATGTATATTTAATGAGAAACTAGTTTGCTCTGCAAACCTTCATCTAAAGTACAATAAAAGAAAAAAAAAAAAAAAAGATTTCAAGCTCTAGCTCTTATCATTAATATTTAGTCCCAAATTCCTAACTGCTTGTTTTAAATGGAACTCCTTTCTCCTTCCTCAATCTTTCTACTTCTACTGAAAATGTTAATGATACTAATATCCTTCTAGTCCTCTACGGAGGAAACCTTGAATTCATTTTTGATTCCTCCTTCTTTGCCTCATTTATCCAACTAGTGCTACGTTTTATTTATTTACCGACTGATGCCTCCATTCCCACAGCCACTATGATAATCAAGACACTTAGGGCCTTTTGTTTGGGTAACAGCAAGCTTGTGTCCTAAATAGAATCTCCATTTCAAATCTCTCCTTACAGCATTACTACTTCTATTTAAAAACAAAAAACCTCAACCTCTTGCCATCAAGTCTCATAGTGACCCTACAGGACAGAGTAGACCTGCCCCATAGGGTTTCCAAGGCTGTAATCTTTACAGAAGCTGACTGCCACATCTTTCTCCTGCAGAGTAGTTGGTGGGTTCGAACTGCAAACCTTTCTGTTAGCAGCCATGTGCTTAACCGTTGTGCCACCAGGGTTCCTTACTTCTATACTGCTGTCAAATTATGTTTCTAAAATCAGGTTCCGGGCATATGGTGCCCCTGCTCAAAAATCACTCTTATCCTGATATTCCAAATTCTTTTACTTGTCCTCAATCAACTTTTAAAAACTTTATTTCCCACTACTCACCCTCATGTACTACTCTACCCCATACACTGTTTCCTAAACATGTCCTATACATTTTCTGTTTCCTAGTCTTTACCCATGATGTTTATTTTGCCCACAGAGACATTCCCCTGAATGTCCAAATCTTACTAGGCTTTAAAGCCTACTTTAAATGTTGTTATTCTCAAAGACAGCATCCTGGATCTCCCTCAATTGAAAGTAACTCCCACAGCACTTCTCTATGGCAATGTTTCTCTAGCTTCTAACTTCAATGAACATACAAATCTCCTAAAGTCTTGCTAAAATACAGATTCTGATTCAGTATGCCTGAGGTGGGGCCTGGAAGTCTGCACGTCTAACAAGATCCCAGGTAATGGTGATGCTGCTGGTCTGTGAACGATGTTATGGAACAGACTGATTGTGGCCTAGTATTCTGGTTATTTATGAACTGTCTTACCACTCCTATTTTACTATAAATGAGGAGAAGATCTCTGTTTGTCACAGCAATGTGCACAGGAGATATTCAATAAATATTTATAAATATAACATTACATAAGGTATCAACGTGTTTTTCAAACTGCAGGTTTTCAACCCATTAGTGGGTTGCAAACTATATGTATATGTGTGTATATGCATGTAAGTATATAACTGAAACAGAATAAAATGGGGTCAAAGGAAAAAGAGAATATATCACATGTAGTAAGGGTAAATACTGTTTCACAAAACTTTTGTTTCAATTACAGACACACACATACACATACATTTGTATGCACTGGGTCAAAATGTAAAATCTATTTTTTAATGAGAGTTTTGGTTTAAAAACCTGGAAAACATGGAAGATATGTTTTAGTCATATCTGAAGTATGTTCTAATTTCAGAAGTATAAAAGAACATAAATCTATGAACAAAAATATTATCATGGCCACATATATTTTAGCACACAATAAACATTTTTATAAAATATGACTTTTTTTTTAATAGCCTCTATATAAAGTGGTCTCCCCCAGTTACTCTTGTTTGTATCATCCTGTTTAGTTTCTTCATAGCTCTAATCACGATGTGTTATGTTGTATTTATTTGTTTACTTTTTGATTCTCCCATCAGAAAGTTCTTTGAGGACAGGGACCTTGTGTGTCTTGCTTCTCACTATAGCTCAGTGCCTGGCACATAGTAGGTTTTCAATAAATACTTATTAAATGAGAAATAGAAAAGTTCATAAAATAAATTATATGCAGTAAGTATTAAGGCTGTTGTGGTTGTATACATCTCCTCACTCCCATTCCTGTGCAAGAAAAAGCATCCCCGCCCACCCGGAAATAACGAAGAGATTTCAAATATAGACTATTTTATGTGGTCTGCGACCGGGGATGGCAAACTATAGCCCACAGGCCAAATCTGGCCAGCTGCCTGTTTTAGTAAACGAAGTTTTACTGGAACACAGCCGCACGTATTCATTTAAATATCGTCCATGGCTGCTTTTGCACCACAGTGGCAGAGTTCCATAGTTAACACAGAGATTGGATGGTCCGCAAAATCTAAAATATTTACTATCTGGCCATTTACAGAAAAAGTTTGCCAGTCCCTGGTCCACAAAATAGGCTACTCTGTTTTTAGCTATTTATATTTATACAATACTTGAAATCTAATCGTACATACTCCAAAGATTATAAGAGACAAATGTTGGAAGTAAATTTTACCTTATTGTAATTCTTGGCTAATTCCAACATCTCTTTTACCACTGATTCATTGTGTTTACAATGTTCACTGTAGTCCTGAAGTGTCAAACCTTCCATCCAACTCTTCTTATGCAAATTTAGCAACATCTAAAAAACATAAAGAATAATTAATTTCCTACACTGAGGACAGTCCCTTCACTTGTCCTGAGAAACTGCACAAAAAGCTTTGAGAATTAATAAATTTAAACTTAATAATTCAAATAAATTTGGTAAAAATTCTCTTAAATTTAAATTAACATAACCTAAGGAGTGTTCCAACCCTATGCCTTTGCGTTTACTGTCCTTCTACCTAGAAGGCTATTCTCCTTATCTTTGCACGGCTTACTTTCCGTACTTCCTTAGAGACAGATGCCTTCTGACCATGCTATCTAAAAAGCCATCCTATACTATCTTAAAAAGAAATCCTTCTTCCCTTAACTTACTTGATTATTTTTATAACACTTATCAACACCTAAAATTTTTGTTTACTTGTCTATTGCATCTCTTTGCCACTAAAAAGAAATCACGAGTGCAGGAACTTTGCCTTGTTTACTTCAAGCTCATGAGGGTCTAGATTCTAATCATAGCAGATACTCAATAAATATCTGTTGAATCAACGAATGGATGAAACTCCTATGTTAGACACAAGGAATTCTAATATTTCATATAGCCTAGCTTTCAAATGTCAAGATAAGGAGGTAAATGCCCTATTTACTGAGTACCCTTGTGTTAATAATCTCTCTGAGCCTCAGTTACACATCTATGAACCAAAGGCTTAGATAATCTTTAAATTCTTTCAAATTCTGAAATTTGATCTATAATTTTAAAAGTTAAAATTTCTTTATTGTCAAAAAATGAAAAGCCATAAAGGTGGGAAGTAAATCACTGATCCATCTAGTTGCAACCACATCAGGAAACTGGGGTCTGGCCCTATTTTGTTGTTGTTAGGTGCCATCGAGTTGATTTTCAACTCACAGTGACCCAATGTGACAGAGTAATAATACTGCCTCATGGGGTTTTCTAGGCTGTAATCTTTACAGGAGCAGATTGCCAGGTCTTTTCTCTTGTGGGGAGCCACTGAGTAGGTTTGAACTACGAACCTTTCAGTTAGCAGCAAAGAATTTAACCACTGTGCCACCACAGGGCTTCCCTGGCCCTATTTTAGTGATTATGAAAGTAAGCACCTTAGTTCAATGCTTCTCAAATTGGGAATACATGTTCTTGGAAGTCTCTAAGTTCTCAAGTTTAGATTCTTGAGACAGTTTTACTTAAAGTCCTCACCATAGCCCTACTCTGTAAATGTTCTTCAATTGAGAACTACCATTAAATAAGTTTATTTTTAATGATTGATAAAATTATGCAAAATGAGTAATACAGTGGCTACAAAATGTTGTCATTTTGCCATTAGAACCAGTACACTTTAAATGTGATTCATGGGCCATGAGAATCTAAAGACATACTTGGAAGTGTATGGGTGTCAGTTTTAAAAAATTACCCTAGTTGTTTAGAGGTTTGTAGCTATGTGTGGTAGAAAGCTCACCTTACACTGGAGAATAAACTGCATGTCAAAATCACCTATGATTTTCAACATAAAAAGCTCTGAATTCTCCTACCCCTTCCTAGGGCCCACAGGGGTAAATGTAGTTTGCAAAAAAAAAAAAAAAATCGGGGCTTTGAACTGGTTCGTTCTGGTTGAAACCCCTGCTGAGAATTTGCATTTTCATCACAGATATACTGAATCAGAATCTACAGTTTAACAAGATCCCCAGGTGATTCTTATGTATAATAAATTCTGAGAACCACTACTCTACTCGTAGTTCTCAGAGCTGGTCCCTAACCAGCAGCATCAGCCTTGCCTGGGAACTTGTTAGAAATGCAAATTCTCAGCAGGGGTTCAAACAGGAACAAATTGGTTTGAAGCCCTGAAAAAAATGGGCAAAACCTGCACAGGTGACTCCACTTTCTTTGGTTACACTCCATCTTCTCCACTGATACTTTTCTAGAAAATAGATTCTTGGAAAATTCTGGTGCAGCTGCAACTACCAATGCTATAAAGCTACCTATAATTAAGTGTTGGGATCTATATTCCCCTATCACTTCAAAAGAAAGTTTCCTCAGAGCAGTAGGATATTCCTACCACGCTTGCACAAGGAATCCACTGGGATCCTCAGGTAAGGGTTGGGGTAAAGTATACAGGTTGGCTGGGTAAGAGTAAAGGCAGGGCTTTTGTTACTGAGAAAGCAGATGAACTGAGCTATTAGGAACATAAATATAACATTAATTAATTTATATTTATACGTGTGTTTTTTATGTCAAGGATGGTGGCTAAGTATACAGAATGCAAAAAAAAAAAAAAAGAAAAATTGATGTAATTAGCTGGATATTTCCAAATGGTTGGTACCAGACTGACAAAATATTTGTATCTCTAAATTTCTGAATAAATTTCTCAGTTTATATCTATTGGTGTCTTTTTCATGGTCTATACCCATTCTATATAAAATTAAAAAATAAGTATTGAAAAATGTACTTTAAGCAATCAACTAAACCTACAGCAGGAGTAAACTTTGGAATATAAGCAAGCAGCTCAAAGACAGCTTTAGTGTCTCTGTGTGTCTCTCCTCAGGCCAACGGGGAACTGTCCTCTGCAGCCCTTCATGCAACACTATGCTAAAGCATGTAGGTCGTCCTTCAGGTGAGGTTGTGGGTGGCTTTGACTTTTAGAACAGAGGTTTATTGAACTTAATAACAACAACAATAAAAAGCAGAACTCTTCTTTCAAAGAAAATCTTACACAGTACATTCTTCCCCCAATATATAAATGACATTAAAAATGGAGGTGATCTAGTCAGAAGGGGGGTAGGTCTGGAGAGCCCAACCTACTCTACCTCCTCATCACATGCACCAGAATACCCTTCTAAGGCACCTCTATGATGAACAGTTTAAACTAGTAAGATTAGTCTTGTTTGCTACTGATTACTTATCACATCTGAAATTGAGAGTACAAGCAGGAACCAAAACTTACAGGCTGTCAATGATAAACTCAGTGTTCTAAAAAAAGTCTTTTCCAGGAAGAAATACAAGAAACTAATTTGGAGAACAACTAACTGTAATAGTAAAGAAAAAAGGCAGTTCAGAGAGTAATTTCAAAAAGCAATAGGCAGAGTTAAATATTTGGCATTATTAGACAGAAAAACTGTACTTGAAATAATCCTATAATAGTAGAAACAAACAAAATCCACCAAAATAGTAATTTTAAAAATAAACAAAATTGAAAACTGCCTGGTATAAAAAGGGATTATAACATTCTAGCTCTAAAAATGTGAAAATTTAATCTGTATTTCCTTTATGACTCACCTTTAGTTTATAAGCATGTATGTTTTTAAAAAGTACTATGCAATTACAATCTAATTTAGTCTTCTCAAATTTGGAAAGCTAGTTTTTCAATAATATAGTTACCAAAAGTCATTTTATTAAGCAAGATGAACTAATCAGAAAATCACAGATCTATAAGAAAGCTTTTTATAATTTATTATAAAACCAAACTGGAATAATGCTTTGTTTCCTACTTTCTCTCCTGTTTTAGCACCTACCAATAAAGTAAAATATGTCTTTCAATATGTCCAATAAGATATTCCTTTATTTTATGCTTTAATTCATCAGGAATGGAAAATGCAAGAGGTTAACAACTCAAATTAGGTAATAGTTTAAACAATTTTAAAAACTTTTTCCTCCTCTAAAATAAAAATTTAAACTTACCTTCTGTTCCAGTTCATTTTTCCGATAGTTAATGGTAATGGAGTAATAATGTCTGTTTAGTCCATGAATTAATGCCTATATAAGTAAATGAGTGGAAAAAGGACAAATTAGTATTTTTCATCTAATAAAATGAATACAACTGTTTGAAACTGATGATATATCCTGAGACAATACCTTTACCATCCTCTAAAAAAAGAAATTTTATCCTAAATAAGTTAAGATTAAATCTGAAATATTTTTCTCACCTGCAGGTTTAGAAGTGAGGTTTAGAGGGATGGGGCACACATTCTTCAAAGCATGATATAAAACTAACTACTGTTGAGTCCATTCTTACTCATGGTGGTGACCCCATGTGTTTCAGAGTAGAATTGTGCTCCATAGGGTTTTTAAGGGCTGTGATCATTTAGAAGTAGATTGCCAGGATTTTCTTCTGAGGCACCTCTGGGTGGATTCGAACCACCAACCTTTCGGTTAGTAGCCAAGCACTTAATCGTCTGCACCACCCAGGGACTATGGCAACACAAATTCAACAGCTTCAGTAGCCTTGCTCAGAGTTGGAGATAAGGTTATGACCTCATCATAATCTAAATTATAAATTAGTTATTCATAATTTATAATTTATTAAAACTGATTTTATGAATTTTTCATGAAGTTGTTTGACAGTCTACACAACCAAAGACCAAAGTAAAGATTTCCTCAGCATTGTTTTCTTTGGAAAACTGATTTTATGAATTCTAGGGGACTCTGGAGTTCCTGGGTGGTGCAAACGGTTAACACACTCTCTAAGCTCTCTAATTAGGTCTTATGGTGTTGAGGTGGAGGAAGAAGGGGTAGAGAAGTGAACATTTAATGAGCATCTAGTATCTGCTTTACATATTATGTCTTTTAATCTTCGTAACAACCAGTAAGGCAGGCTGATTCCATTTGTATTCTGACAGATTAGGAAAATAAAATTCAAAAATCTTAATGTGTCCCCATTTGCTACCTATTGCACTGCAATGGATCACTTTTGTGTGGCCTTTCTCACCATGGTCTTGTAACTCCCACCCAAGTGACTAGGTAGGATTGTGCAAATAAGGTAATTGTGGCCTACCAAGGGGATTGGTCAATTCTGCCATCCTGCTAAGCTTAAAAAAGAGCCAATTCCAGAGCAGGAAAAGGATCCCACCACCATCAAGGAAGGAGAGCCAAGACTGAAGTGTGCCCTTTGGACCCAGGATCCCTGTGCTGAGAAGCTCCTGGAACCAGGAGACTGAGAGAGAGAGAAAAGAGAGACAGCTGTAACACAAGACAGTAAGAAGTGGTGGTGGAGAGACTGGCAGGAGACAGTGCAGTGGGCTTCCCGGCCCACAGAGCGAGAAAGCTGAGTGCCTCTGGGCAGAAGGCTTGCTGGTGGAGTAGGGTGCCTCTGGGCCTCTGGTGGAGCTAGAGCTGAGCGGTTTCGAGGGAGGGTTACTGGCAGAGTGGGGTGCCTCTGTGCACTTATCGGCAGAGTTAAAAGAGCTTTGTAACACTTGCCCAAGCAGGGCAGAGGCAGAGGGCCAGAGAGAGGTCCTGATGAAGAACTGTATCCTGAGTGTTCCTGAACTTGAACTGTAACCTGTTACGTCCCTAATAAACCCCATAATCGTAAGTATTGTCTGTGAGTTCTGTGTGGCCATTGCAATGAATTATCAAACTACGCAGAGAAGTAGAGAGTGCCACAGGGGGTATGACTGAGGTCAGAATTGGTAAAGATGGCAGAGACAGGAGGCATGTCTGACCTCTGCCTCATGTGAATCAGCCTTGGGCTGTTGATTTTGATTCTCCTTCCCCCTTTGAAGTTAGAGGAGGTCAGTCGCTGCCCCCACGCCATTTTTACACCCATTAAAAGACAGAGTTAAGATTTGAACTCAGGTCATTTTGACTCCAAACACACCATATTGTCATGGATTGAATTGTGTCCCCCAAAAATATTTGTCAACTTGACTAGGTCATGATTCCCAGTATTGTATATGATTGTGTAATCTGATATGATTTCCTTATGTGTTGTAAACTCTTTATCACTATGATGAGGTTATATGTGATCTCCTTATGTGTTGTAAACTCTATCACTATGACGAGGTTATACTGGTGACATCTACAAGATTAGATATTGTTTTAATCCAATCTCTTTTGAGATATAAAAGACAGAAGTGAGCAGAGACACATGGGAACCTCACACCACCAACAAAGCAGTGCCAGGAGCAAAGCGTGTCCTTTGGACCTGATGTTCCTGCACTGAGATGTTCCCAGACCAAGGGAAGACTGATGACAAGGACCTTCCCGACAGAGCCGACAGAGAAGAGAAAGGCTTCCCCTGGAGCTGACACCCTGAATTTGGACTTGCAGCCTACTGGACTGTGACAGAATAAATTTCTCTTTGTTAAAGCCATCCACTCGTGGTATTTCTGTTAGAGCAGCACTAGATGACTAAGACATGATGTTATCTTAGGAAATTCTTGGATTGAATCTATGTACTTTTAGGATCAGGATGAGAATAAAGCATAGTCTTATCTATAAGCTTTCCTAGCAAAAATCACTCCATCAAGTATTAAAATATTTTAGATATGTACTATAACAATGCATTCTTATACTCTTAATGTCTGCTATAAAACTGTGCTATGAAATTCCATAGGAAGTGGTAGTTTAAAATGTTTATATACGAAATTTAAGTACTATGTATTAAATCCTTATCCATTCAATAATCTTTAAAAACCAAATCCATTGCCACTGAGTCAATTCTGACTCATAGCGACCCTAAGGACAGAGAAGAACTGCCCCATGGAGTTTCCAAGGAGCACCTGGTAGATTCAAACCGCCGACCTTTTGGTTAGCAGCCATAGCTCTTAACCACTGCACCACCAGGGTTTCGGAACAGTGAATTAAATTTCAGCACGTAAAAATTCTATACTGTGCAGATCAAAAATGGAAGTAATCAGGGTCTTCTTTAATTTGTATTCATCACTGAGCAAATTAGAAGTGCATACATGTAGTGAAAGAATTAGAAAAAAGCATCCCGTCTTCCAAGCAGACACAGCCTAGATGGAGAGTGGAGTTTGACCTAGATTTCAGGCCCCAATCGCCGCCTCATCCAAGCACCTTTGTCCCATGCCCTAACTACACAATTCTACATGGTGGCCATAGAACTGAAAACAGCTGTGGTCAGTAAATACGAAAACTGTCAATGGGCCCATGTTGGAGATTAACTGTATTGCTGAAATATACAAGTTAGTATTTGAAGACACTACCTCCTTAATTTTCAATTACATTTAGATAAAAGTACAGGCAGTCCCCAGGTTACGAATGAGATCTGTTCCTGTGTCTTTAAGCCAAATTTGTAGGTAAGTAGGTAAGTCCGAACAGGTGCATATGGCTCTTATTTAGCCTTACTTTCATGCAAGAAAAGGCTTGAAGTCTTTTCAATGATTTAAAAGCTGCATGTGCAACAAGTGAAGGTGACTGTCATGAAGAAGTTGTTGCGAGTATCAATTGCTTCAAAGTGAGGGCAAATTTATATAACATTAAAGGGCAAATACAAGTTGTCCCTAAATTGGACACCATAAATCCAGGGACTTAACAGTAGTAAAATTAACATCAGTGCTGTCAAGTTTGATTCCAACTCATGGTGACCCCATGTGTGTCGGAATAAAGCTGTGCTCCACAGAGTTTTCAGTGGTTGATTTTTTGGAAGTAGATTGCCAGGGATTTCTTTTGAGGTGCCTCTGGGTGGACTTGAACCTCCAACCTGTCAGTTAGCAGTCAAGTGCATTAACTGTTTGTACTACCCAGGGACACCAAAACAAACACAGGAGCATGAAAGATTAACAGCCATAATAATAACAAAGCAAATATAAGTTTAAATCAAATGATATCCTCAAGCAGTTTTCCAATTTCACTTATTTACCTTCTGTACATTCACCTCGAATTATAACTAAGCTGACCATGCATTAAGTACTCCTTCCACATGAGCTCAAAAAGAACAGCCTGTTTAGCTCAGAGAATAATATATTCTCTCAAATCAACCAATCTAACCAACATAATCACAAACTCTGGCAGCATATGCCAAGTATAAGATTAGTTTTATCAAGGAGGAGACTAACCTTTTGAAAGGGTCAAACTTCAAATAAAACATACAACATAGTAACAAATGCCACCATCTATCAGGCAGATAAAGAAGAAGGTTATTGCTAGGAAATTTCTAAAAATTTCATACTTAACTTCTTAATTTACACTTAACAAACATACGACAGACTTCGGAAAATTTAGGCAATTCTTCATTAAAACGAGGTATGGTCCCAAAGTTCATTTATTACTCGGCTGTTTGAAATCTGAAGTTTCTCACAGAAGCACTGTTATAAAAAATGGCTCTCTTCTATAGTATTATATATTGTGGGCTAAATAAGCTTTCACTGGCTAACCTAGGAAACTAAACCCGTGGCCGCTGAGTCAATTCCAACTCATCGCGACCTAGCCACTTTTTACAGCACCGTTTCTAAGACAATATATTCTGAATTTGCTAATAGCACTTAGCTTATTTGCTTCTTAGACATCCTTACCCTGTCTTTCTTTGCTTAAAGCCTGCCAACCTTTCAGAGAAGGAATTTCTGCCTAGGTCAGTAGCCAGCAGCAGTCTAAGAGGCTATCTATTCAGAGAAAAAACGGCTTGGAGGAGGAATGAGACGAGGAGTTTTAGATCCTCTGATTAACTTCCAAGTTATTTTTATACTTCTTTAGTCAATCTTTAGAGTGAAGCTTTATAATTTTGTTGGTGTAATACATTCAAAACAAGTATACAAATATTCATCATGGTGAAATAAACTTCAAAATTAACCACCATTTTGAATTATTTGTATCTCTATATTCATTCATTCATTCATATGAATTATTAATTTAAGTATTAGAAATGTCTCTGTGAGAACAGGTATCTAATCCCAATGAATTTCTGAAATTGGATAAAATCACTAGAGCATAAATAATAGTTGAGAAGTATGAAACCTAGAACTGCAGTGATGTTATGAGCAAAGGTGGTAGAAACTATGGAATGGAAGTATAGGCAGTTTATGAGAGGCAGTTGTGGTGCCAGGTTGAATGGAATTGTGTAGAATCCTAAGTTTTACATAAAGGGACCACTGACCACAGGTCATATAATAAGATCCCCTATTTAAGTGGCTTGGAGTGAAACACCTTCTGCATAATGACTATGTCAGATAATAAAAGCAACTAAAACCCACCCTAATCATGTCACTGACATTGCCTAGACCACTAAGAGGTTAGAAGTTATCTTATACCTCCATATAGCCACTGCTGTGGAAAAGCAGATGTATTATAAAACATATAGCTTATGAATTATATATAACTTATTCATAAGTTCTTGATAGGTTAAAAAAGTTTCATGCTCTGAAAAAGTAAGGTATGTTTAGACCTAAAGATAAATTTGTTTACCTTCAATTACAGTAAAACCTGTGAAACCTGGAACCTCTGTAAGATGGAAAACTGTCAGAGAAGGAAAACTCAAATATTTTCCACTAAAAGGAGCGATAGCAAAGTTGTAAGACTGCACCCTGTCAAAGCTGGGAAACTTGTGAGACCTGGAAAAACACGCAGTCCTGTTGATTTCTGGCTCTCACAGGTTTCACTGTATTTTACCCTGATAAACTGAAAATGTAGTGATAAATGATATCCATTAAATCAATTTTAAAATGATGCTTTGTGTATATAAACAGAATAACTCTAAAGGAAACAAACCATGGGAATAATGGTTACTTCTAGAATGGAGAACTAGGCTGCAGAGGGCAAAGGTGGAAGGGGGTTTTTGCTAAATACCTTTTTGTATTTTTAAAATTTTGAACTATATACATATATTACCTATGAAAAAATTAATTAAATAAACTTCCAGCTATAGTATAAAATAATGAGGAGACTTGGCTATGAGTACCAGTTCCTACATTAACCCACGGAATGACCTGGATAACTCACACACTTTCTGGGCCTCAGTTTCCTCACCTGCAAAATGGCCACAATGGTTTCTTCCAGTGCAACTGTTTTAAAACCATTCAATAACTACTGAATACAATGTTTTCCGAATAGTTTATGAGACAACGTACTTGTACTCATGGCTACGCTAAGAGACTCACAGCCCTAGCACAATGCATCCAGGCATTAATAGTTACTAAATTTCCATGAGGTTGACAACCAATCTTCATATTTACTGTGGTACTGCTGTCTTATAAATCTAAGATGACACTGAATAGTTAATAAAATTGTTTAAAAAATCTAGTCATTAAATAAATGCTAGTTTACCTTCAATACTGGTGAAACCAGATGTTCCAAGCACAGAATACTATAAAAGCTTATAGTATAAGCATTATATTTTTCCTCTTATCAGAATTATTAATGCTTTTTTCTTACATGAAACATGAAAATGAATATAAATTTTGTCTATTAGCTTTGTCTGATGGTAAATATCTGCAACATTAATTACCATTAGTGCTTTAAAAATAGTATTTTCTAAAAGCAATATGTTTTACTGTACAGTTTAAGAAATATGGGCAAGGAAATATACAAAAAAAAAATTCCATTATCCTACCACCCAGAGGTAATCAATACTAACAACTTGGTGTAAATGTAATTACAGGTGATTCCTGTTATTTGTGGTAGTTATGATCTATAAAGTCACCATTAGCACTGAATTTGCAAATACTGGACCACTGCTCTAAAGCAAATACAGGGTTTAGTTCCTGTGAGCCTCTGATCACAACATTTTTGTCAACAGATGAATACATAATCTTGTTTTATGTGTGTTTCTGTTTAATATATATTGCTGATTCATTAACATTGAATTCATAGCCAACAGTACTTTAACTCACGCCTGAATAAAGCTAGTCCTCACGTAAGAGGAACTGTCAACACCATATGTTATACAGTTCATCCTAAATTCACCTGGTAATTAGAATAACCACCTATTTACTAACTGCCTTTATCCAAAAAGGAAAAAAATTAATTTATTTTTATGACTGAAGGTAGGTTTGCAACTTGGAGCCAAGTGCCAGCTGAAAGTCAGGCTCCTATCTTCCCAGGAAACTGAGAGACAGGGGTGCTATCTTTCTTCCTCGAAAGATTACATTTCAGAAGGATGGCTTTCATGTCCTTGAGGAAACATTCTTGGGTTGTTAAAACTGGCAAGAGGCTTAACTAGACTTTAAAACAATTTATATACATTTCAAAGAAGCAGAGGAAGAACTTAAAATTCCAAGTTTTCTAAAGTAAATACTCAAGAAAAGGAGGAAAGTCTCTTCCTGTTTTTCAATATGGAGAATTAAGCCTCTCTCTTCTTTCTAATTTGTATTTGTCCATATAGCATGACCATGAAAGCACCCGGAGTATTGATTTTGAGTTACGAATTAATTTTAGCAGGTAGACAAATCTGCAAATATGGAATCCATAAATAATGAGGATTGACTGTATATAAGCACACTTTATAAAATAGGTATTTATGAAAAGGAGAACTTGTATATCCTATTTTACAATTTTTCTCACTTAGCATATTATTAAATAGTAGTCTACAATATAATCACAATTTCCTCCCACTACTTTAAGTGTAATATTAATTGGTGTTAGAAAAGCATTAGTGATCACCAGCACGTATGCTGATGGTTGCTGTCACACTTCTATTCCTACTATTTGAAAGGTGGCTTAGGAGCAAGGTCCCTCTTAACACTAGCTAACTCAAAAGGCATGGCATTTCCAAAAAGCTTCTGATCTCTGAGTTAAAGACTTTCTAACATACATTAAAATTTTATTGTGGATATTACCACTCACTTCAGGTTCTTCTGGGTTGATTTCCTTCTAGCTTTTCTTAGACAAATAAAGTGTTTTAAGGTGTGGCTCTGTTCTGTCACTTTTTGGCTTGATCCCATTTGAGTGTTTTAATATTGAAATTGTCTTAAAATTGTAAAGCACCCAGAGAGATGTCATTCTGATGGGCGCTATATAAACTGTGAAAGAAATATATTTACAGATTTTAATTGGAAGGCAAAACAAACTAAAATGAAAGGAAAACAATGATGCTATAGCTGTTACATACACAGGTCTTTTTAACTTAGGTTTAGAACCTGCTTTATTAAGTCGATCTTAAATTTCACAGGATATAAGGCAGGACCAAAAAAAACAGACAAACTGGGCTAACATAGAAAGAAAACAGATTTTCATATCAATCGTACTCTGTTTTTAAGGTTAGAAAGCAGTGTTTTAATTTAAAAGACAAAATCTGCAACAGGTGGCTGTTGACTTGCAATTAGTAAAAACTTCTGGCAGAAATATACCATGTGGTAATCACAATGACCTTAGATTGTAAGATGCTATTTAACCTTTTGCAAAAAATAATGAAGCCATATGATGCTATGGTGGTTTATAAGAAGGTCATTATCACAGGCTAAAAAGGTTCAATAATATATTCTCTTGAAACAAGCAAGCACAGGCTTGTCTGTACCCAATCAAAAACACTGGTTGCTTATTTCATACTCATTATACTTTGCAGTTTTCTCTGACTTGTAAAAAAAATTCTTTTCAAAAGCAACACACCTCAATCCTTTGAAACAAAACATTTCCCTCTGATAGAGATTTCGGATGAGTGATTGTTGGCAAAAATAAGTGTCTAAAAGTATAAAGTTATCAAAGTGTAACCTAGGCTTCACAATGGTCAACTGTCAAAACCACAACTCCCCAAAGACAATGGTACCACAGAACAAGGTTTCAGAGGAGGAGCCACAATAGCTACTATAATGTCTTTGTCTTATGTGCTCTATTTAACCAAACATGCTATTTCTGTCCTTCAATTAATCTTCAGAGAAACAATTAACTACATAGACATAGGTATTGGTGCATTTAAAAACACATTTAAAATAATTTTTGCAGACAATAAAGATCTGTGTAAAAACAATGAGGCATATGAATGATACAAAGAAAATATTAGTCACTCAAGAGGATATTAAGCATATAAATACCAGTAACTCCAATAATGGTGGTTAGTATCACTATTAAAAAACAAGATATAAACTCTAATCAAAAGTAATGCACAGATGTGTTTTATACTATTTTTTTTAAAGGTGGTGATTAAACAAAAAAAGGTAGAAAATTTCAAGTATTATTTAAGAACTGTTTCTGGGGACCTCTTAAATGTTACTCTATTATTTGCAGCTATAAGAAATGTCTTCTAACCAATCAATGATGATAGCTAATACGCTCTGTCTGAAACTCCTACTGTCCTTTTCTACAAGGCTAACCATGCAAAGCTGGAAGGTACTCCCAAGATACAGGCTCTACTATGCTCCCAAAAAGGGTATCCTGAAAATATGGTTAGAAAGTTTAATTAAAGATCTCACCTAAAATTGACTCAAAGATGAGCCAATTTAACTTCTGCAGCAATATTTCCATAATCCTCTTTTAAAGAACAGTAAAAATTAATAACAAGTAAATTAAAATGCTAAGAATAAGGTCTTGAAATGACTACATATAGCAGGCTTTTAAATGTTAAACAGAGTTTTAGAAGGCATTACCTGGATGGATGGCTTGTTTAAGTGACCCAGATTTGAAGTTGTTTGTCTTGGTTCATGTCCTAAGACCATCATATTAGCATTGATCAATCTGAAGGCATCAATAACAACCTGTAAAAACAAAGTGTCAGGTCAATTCTCTTTTAAAAAGCAAGTGATGATGCCAAGCAATAGTGGACAAAGCATGATCAACTTGCATCTGTTTCTGGCCTATTTCCAGAAAATCATTTAATTATAATATTAATAAAAAAGAACCTCCTGCTGACTGTGCCATCAGCACACCACCCTCTACCTTGAAATGTAAGGTGACACCAATAAATACAACTTTCATGAAGCAATATGAAAAATATTAACTTTGCATCTTTATTATTGAAATACATGATTACTGAACTTATAATGAATAGCCTTCATTGGTGTGCATGTTTGTCACCTAAATTTTACCTAATCAAAATGAATGACAAAGAGAAACAAAAACTGAAAGTGAGCACAAGCTAAGGGACCACATCTAAAGCCCAGCCCTGTCACATCAATTATACCACCAGAGTACTTGAAATGACAACAAAATTACAACCAGCAAGGCACTTGCCCCACGTATTCTCTTCTAGTCAGATACCTTTTACTTCTTGTGACTATGAAAGACTTTATACTTTGTCTGATGGCTTAAATGTCCAAGCCACTGTCAAGCAAAGGAGGCACAATGTAAGAAAACCAAGGTCATCTGTGCTCTAAGCCAGGAACCTGGTACAGAATGACAGGGTCCTAAGTTCAGAGTAAAGAAGTAACAATAGGTATCCTCTTTCTGCTAAGTGTATTTACTATTTCTGCACAGAAAGACTTCTAATTCTTACATGATACAATATAATGTTAGTTCTTATACATTAAGTGATTTAACAAGAATCACATACTATCCCATCATTATGGATTTGAGAGAATTCGTTAAAGCTTTTAAACATTATGAATTCTTAAAGTCCTGTGACTTTAAGGCAGATGCCTCTTTCAGAAAATTTAACTCAACTACTAAGAGAATACAACTCAATACATTAATCACATAGAAAAATCTTAAGGCAGGAAAATACTCTTTCTAAATTTGCCTTTAAAAATGCTGAAAAACTGAGATTTGACGAAGTTTTAAAAGCCATTATCAACTAGATTGTTCTTATTTGTACAACTATTGTTTGTGGATACTAAAAAAAAAAATTATTTTCATGTTAAGTCAATTAAAGTTTAAACAAGTCTAAAAATCAGTTTATACTAAGTATTATTGCATGTTATATTTAAAGAATAGTGTTTAAAGAAAAAGAAAAATTGCTATTTCTAAAAGGCTGCTATGAAGGGTGAACAGCACAAACTTAGACCAAAACATCATGACAAGTGAATCAATCCAAGGTCTCTGTCCAGTCTGGTCAGCCAAAACAAACAAACAAACAAACAAACAAACAAACACACACACACACACACACACACACACACACACACCAACGTGAATTTTGCTTTTATTTCTAACAGTTTGAATTTCCCTATAGATTTCTGTCTCAAAATAAAACTCAGCATCCCCAGAACATGAATAATTTAACAGTTTGTGAAAACTCTTTTTTCCTTTTATACAGTAACCTGAATCCACACGACTTTCACATTTTATTTACAAATCAATATGGCCTAGCTTAGGTTTATACCTCTTTTATATTTAAAATTGTTCTAATCATATTTTTTCATTAAGCAATAATAAAAGCAGGTAGTAGTATCAGAACACTTTGATCAGATGATAACATATAAATAACTTTAAATAACTGTTTAAAAACTATACAGAAGTAAAAGAAAAATTTTATCACTTGTTTACTAAAGAACACATAAAATAAGATCAAGTTAAAATGTGGGCAAAGGAGGGGAAAAGTGACCATTCTGACAGGCAAGAGATATACAACTTAAAAACAGAATTAAGAATTGCCACCCTAACTATTAATGGTAAATATTTAAGAGCAAAGTATCAGTTTGGTCCAATTGTTTTTAGAATACTTTGATTCCGTTTTAAGATTTCAGTAAAAGCATTTGTAGAAAAAAACCACTCCTATAAAACCATGAAAATTCCATTATATATCATGACAAAAATGCCTATATACATTTTTATACTAAATGCTTTCAAACTAAAACAGCAGACAGCTATTTTACACAAAAAGAAATCTCTGTAATATTTCTCTAGAATATTATAAACAGATGTGAAACTTCATAAAAAGGAAATGAAAATACCAGCTAAGTAGATATTATCATTTGTTAAAAACAAATCTGAAATTAAAAATTTTAAATTCTTTTTAGAAATTAAGAGAAAAATTCAAGGTCTTAATATACTGTTCAACTAATAAATGATGGCCTACATGCTTAGATTGACAATTCCTAAGTAGCAATATGATAGCCAATAGGAAATGAATACTTTACACCAAGATTAAAAGAATTTGCTGCCATCACTATAGCAACTGTCTTAAGGAAACTAACATGTTCAACAACCTGCAAACCAAAATTAGATTTAGTACGCAATAAAAATATAAATATGGCAAGATAGCCTACATTTTAATTTCTGTACAATTTTATAATTGCTTTTTGCACTGTAAGAATAAGTGGGTTTATCCTTTAGAGCAACTTATCAAAATAGACTCATTATTGTCCAGTGCACTAATGAGCACTGGGTGAAGAAGGTGTTAATTATGCCACAGTTAAGATTCAAGAAAAAGCCCTAGTGAGCACTTGGAGGTGTGTATAAGCTGAAGGCGTTTCTCCATGTTTGTGTATTTACAACACGATGCAACAGAATGACAACAAAGTGGTCACTCCATGGTTAAGAACAGAAATCTTAGATACAACAGACTGAAAAAAACCTCCAAGGATTAATTAAGGTATTGGGAGACAAGGAGGAATAATTCATTTTTTGGAGCTATCTGAATTTCCTAAACAGTTAGGTTTGAAGTATATATACATTAAACCAGTTCAGTTTATGTCTTAAAAATTCAAATAATAATTTAACCCAAAAAACTTCTCAAAAACATTACCTCCTTTAATATGTAATAACAAAAATCTCCAAGCTAAAGTCTGAACAATGTTTTCAGGAATATGATGATAGACCTTTAAAATTCTTTCCCATGCTGAAGTCCTACACACCACATTGAATCTCTATTCACCAGCCTGACCATTTAATTTTTTCTGGTACAAGTGCCTTGAGACTTTTCAGAGGTCACTGCAACAGGAGACAGCTTATAACAAAACCATTAGCAGTTTGGCTAGCGTAGGGAAACCTCTTACTTTCCTTTTTTGTTTATTATCACTGCATGAATCTGCAGCATATGATAGTTTATAATTTCTCAGGCTTGTTAAATTCATGTTAAAGGTCTATTTTCTTGTTGAATAAATTTTGTTCATATAATGCTGCCTATTTCATACACTCAGTCTTTAATAGCACCTTTGGTCTATGCGCAACTCACAGATCAAAACAGAGGACTAAAATAGGGGTTGATGATGCTATTTACATGTGTGATTCCTGCTGTCTTCTTGTTAGTAGCTTTAATATAATAGAAGACCTTGTCTGTTTTGTAATTAACACATCTTTACTGGAGAGATATTTGGAAGTGATTGCTGTGAATATACTGGTTAGTAAAATAAACACAATCACACACCACTTTCTGTTATCAGACAAATTTGTGAATTGTACACATTATACTCCAGATCAACAAACTGTGATATAACAGCCAAGTAGAAGACACATATTTATATAACCCTTTATTTTTCTGAAAATATGTATTCACTCTGACCTTGCAAATATAATTAGCTTGTGGGATGTGCAGATTTCAGTACCATCGTTGCTTTACTAATTGCAACTCTTGGAAATAGATACTAAATATTTGGAAGCTGCCAATGCAAAATAAAAACTGCATCTTTTTCTACATCTGTCTTAGCTTATAAAAGCAAAATAGTATTAAAAACAATAACTGTGTTCCATATTTATTCCAAGTATGCCCAAGGTTCAAGGACCTAATCATTTCACTTTAATAATGAATACAGTTTAAGACTAAAAACTCTTAATTATTTGCTATCAGTTTAATCCATAATTTTTTGGCTTCTTTCAGGAGTATAGTACAGTTCATCCAATATGCTATTCATTTTTAAACTCATGTTTTCATATCAATTGCCAGGTCATGGAAAAACCAGGCTAAATTTCTAAAGCACAAATCTATAGTTCCCAAGTTTTTCATTTAAAGGAAGCTATTTTTTTATTAAAGCTCTTAAAATTAGTTTAATACAAAAATATTTTAAAGAAAGATGCACATACACTCTGGTAGTACTTACATAATTCATAATACATCTCCCACCCCCCCCCCACACCACCCCCCACACATAGTAGCTGCCTTTGGCATTTTCAATTGCACTATACTGAAGGTAATGATTATGGGAATGTTTAAAACAGAGTAGGATCAATGTTTTAAGTATTTACAATGTATTCATTTTCTTGAGCTTAAAAGAAAAAAAGACCTAAAATAATCGAATCTTCTAAAACCTTACAGGTTAACTCATTAAAATATATATAAAATGAACTGAAATAATAAAAACATAAAGCTTGAAAGAAAAATTTTAACACTCAAAATCAATGTCCAACATTAAAAAAAAAAAAGGTAATACCTAGTTACCAGTTAGGTCACATATTTAAAAATATATAAGCCTCCCACAATAAAAGTATATCTCTAAATGACTATAAAAATGCAAGGTGTGGAAAGAAAAGCAACACCCCATATCATATACCCTTTATCACCTAGAAATGACCTGTTATCAACTGCTTAGGTTGTTTCTGGATTCTTTAAAAATTAAGGGCACATGTGACCTAGGAAGTACTGCTGGGGTTTGTGACCATTTCGTTACTTATGCTGCCATGCGCTGCCAGCCATCTATAAGAGAAAAACATCTTATGTCTCTTCTAAGCCCATAGCATAAAAAATTCAGAGAAATCTTACTTTTTATGCCATTTCCAATGAAAAGCACTAAGAACTAAAACTGACTCATGCCAAATGCATATCACTGAATTGCTGTGATTTCTTAGTCTCAAGTTTGCAACACGGAAATTATTTATAAAATGT